CAGCCGATTAAGCGCTCAAACACTAACAAACTGACAAGATCTTTCGCTGTCTATAGCCGGGTACCAATTCCCACTTGGGTGAAGTGAGGAAAATTCGTGTAAAGTGCCTTTCCCAAGGACACAACGTCGGGCCCTTGACGGGATTCGAACCCACGACCTTACGGTTGCGAGTCCGAGAGCCTAACCACTAGGCCACCGACGCCACAAGGTCTCAAACATCTTAAAATTTTTTTTCACTTTTTTCTTTCGTGTATAGTTAATTCATTTTTGTGAAAGTTCTTCTTTATGTGGTTGAACTGGTTTTTAATTGTTCCTGTGAAACTTTTTTTCTTGTGTGAATGATTATGTGATTGGTGTAAGGCGTTCAGAGCTTATACTAGTATGAGATAGAGCGCTATATAAATGTAATCTATTATCATTATTATTATCATCTTGTGACAGAGATTTAGAATGTAGTTTTTGCCATCCCAAATACAAAATACGATTGTTCTCCCTGGGAGAGTCTCTCCCCATCCCGACTGTCCACCTTGTCTACTAACCAGCCCAATTATAGCACTAGCGGGAAGAAGATTGGAAAGATTGGACTGTGTTTGTGGAATGTCATGAGAGAAAACTTCCGGGTACACTAAATTCCAATAAGAGGTCACGTTTCCGAATAATAAAACCATTTCATTTTTATTTGTTTTTACTTTTTTTCAAGACGAAAAGGTTAAATTCGGTAGGTGTAGAAAGAATTGCCCTACTTATTCTTTTATGGGTTAGCCAAATCTCTAAAAGCGTCGAAAATCGAAGTGCGTGTGTGTATGAGGCCAGGGCGGAATGAGGCGCAGGTCCAGAAATTTTTGCTGCGCCAAATATTTTTCATCACCTCAGAGTACAGTACAGTGGTGGGTTTATTTAAAAAAACCCACACCTAAACAAAACAAAAAAGAGATCATTCTGTTCGCCATTCCCCATTGTGAGTTGGAATTTGGCTGAAAATGCAAACTGGACTCGTTGACATAATTCAGAAGATTTTGGAAGCGGCCTTCGTCGACCACCTGGGTGTAATGGAATACAGCGCCCCCACAGTAACACTGAGATCACCATCATCATCATCATCATCATCATCATCATCATCATCATCGTCATCATCATCATCATCATCATCATCATCATCATCATCATCATCATCATCGCCTTTCTCACCATGTACCAGGCCCCACCAACCCGCCCATCTTCCCAAAACCCTGTCTTCACTCGTTTCAACACCAGAAAGCAAACCGGAATAAAGGCACGTGCACGTCTTCTTGCTTCTGTTATCAATCACACTTTAGTATTCATTCTTTTTTATATCTAATTATCAATTTTATTCCGTTACTGAAATTCCTGCTGCTTTAAAGGCTTTTTTGTACGGTACTCTCTTTCTTTTCCAAGTCAATCTCTAAAAAGATTCCCCCCCCCCACTTTCCCCAACTCCCTTTTTAGCAGGCTGAACTTCATTCTTCTTTCTTCATCATTTAATCTCGAATTGCCCCTGGGTCTGCTCATCCAACATGTGACTCTTGTCCTCTCTCTTCTTTTTCCTCTTTCACTCCTTTTTTTACTAAGATTATTTTGTGCTTGGACGAGATGGCTTCCTTTTCACGCCTTGCATTATGTTTTTGTGCGTGCCTTCCTTAAAAAAAAATATGCATGACACCGTTTCAAGATTAGATTCCTCAGTTCGTTTTGGCTTCCCTTTGTGTTTGTGAGATATTTGCCCCTTTGTTTATTTGGAGGGTGTGGTCGCATGAAGCTTTGCTACTTGATTGTGACGTCTTCAGATCTTTACTCGTGTAATGCTTGGCTGATATTCATTCCACTGCAACTTCATCTAAATGTGTTCACGGCATGGTGTGAACGGGTCGCTTATGTCGCTTCTCTCAATTCGTCTGTTTACTTCAGTTCTTCGAAATGTAAATGAGAAGACTTGTGTGTTTGAGAACGTTCTGTTTATTTTGCCCTAAATGTACTTGTGCAGGCAAAGACATGCTCCCTGAAGTTGCCTTTTCCTCTGAGTTAAGTGACGGCTCAATATTTGATGAGCAGGGAGCAGCCTTAAGCATGTTTAATCCTTTGTGACCAAGGGAACCAAGACTACATTGTCCGTCAACGACACCCCAGTACTCCCCCCCCCCACACACACACCCACACACACACACACACACACACACACACACACACACACACACACACACACACACACACACACCCACACAGACGCACGCACACACACACGCATATAATATGTATGGTTGGCAAGCTGTGGAAATGTACAAAGCCCATAATTTTGAATGTTCTTTAAACTGCAGTCTCTTAATCGCCGGTATCGGTTGCATATTCTAAAGAAATATTTTGTCGAAA